TTGTAGGCTTTGGGCCTAGGAATTATTCTATACAGATGTTGTTTGCGCCGGAAAAAAAAAATGTGTCACAGGCCTTAAGCCTATGAGTCGTTCTATACTTAATTTATTGCACAACTCTTGTTTTTTGACTTTGGGCCTAGGAATTGGTATAGAAGGAATCTATTGCACAGCTTTTGTTGTAGGCCTTGGATCAAGGATTTATTCCATACCTATTTGTTTGCACAGAAAGTCTTTGGCCTATGATTCATTCTATTTGTTTGCACCGAAAAGAAATATAGTCGTGTCTTACAGGCCTTAGACATAGAACATATCATCTCTAAACCTGACATTGCAAGTATACCAGACGAATTTGGATTTTATCGAATTAACGGTAAGTCAAAAAAAAAATGTCGTGTCTTTGTACATCAACAATAGTAAGGCTGCAATACCGATTAAAAAATAATCTAGGTCTAGTAAATATTTTTTTAAACATCGACAGATATCCTAGCCCATAGTCGACCATATTTAATTACACATAAATTATATTAATGTTTTTTTTTATTTATTAGTCCATGGAAATATATACATTGACTCTGCTTTGAAATAAACGTAATGCTTAATATTTGTCGTTAAGACCACTAACAGTAAGGTCAGCCACCTTTAATTATAAACATATTGCATTAATTTTAATTTGTTTGACATCAAGAAAGGTTATTTGATTTAAAAAAAAAATATTTATTCTTATCTTTGTTTTAGATTCAACGTTGCCTTCAAGAAAGAAATGATGCTCGGTCACGTACAACCGTCGCATCCGATCATCAAGTCCTTCGTTTTCTTCGACCTGGAAACGTCGGCTCTGCACGCCGAAGACAGACCCAAGGTCACCGAACTGTGCCTGATCGCCGTACACAGGTCCAGCGTCGAGAGCTCGGACACCGCGCCGAGGGTGATGGACAAGCTGACGCTGTGCATGTATCCCAACAAGGAAATCTCCCCGATCGCTTCGAATCTGACTGGTCTCCACAATGCTCTTATGTTGAATAACGACAAGCGACCTTTCGACGTCCAGGTTTGTGAGTCGATATGCGCCTTCCTCGGCAGACAGGCAAAACCAGTGTGTCTGGTCGCTCACAACGGATACGAATTCGACTTCAAGCTGCTCCGGACGGAATTCGATCGTCTCGGACGTTCTCTACCTTCCAACCTGGTGTGTTGCGATTCCTTGTTGGCTTTTCGGGAACTGGAGGGTGCAGATTGGCAAGCGTGGAAGAGGCCGAGGAGGTCGTACGCCCTGCAGAAGATGTTCGTCCGGACTTTCGGAGTGAAACCCAGAAACGTTCACGGTGCTGAATCGGACGTGATCACTTTACTCAAACTTGTGCTCAACCGAGAAAACGCAGTGTGCCGGTGGATGGATGAGCACGCAACGAGATGGACGGACGTTCAGCCATATTACATTCCGAAAAAGATCTAGAATGTGGTAATTGTTTTTTCTCTTTCTCTCTTTGTTTTTGTGTGCATACAATTTCAGATTAATGGAAACGTGGCATTTCTTCGAATAGTCTTTTTTTTTTAGGCGAGACTTTTTTTTTATCATTTTTTTCGAATGGCAAATTTAATTATTTTTATTCAAAAATTATAAATAGTTGCAGTCGGTGAGATTGCTAAGCAAGGTAAAAGAACAAGTCTCGTGTTGTCGACATGTAAAAAATGATTGCAAAACAACGCAATTCAAATTCATTTTTGTACGAATTTTATTTTGATTCAGAATTAACATAAAAGATTTTCTTAAATGTATATATATAAGCATTTAAAATAAATTAATTGTTGTTAATTTCCAATTTTTGTATATTGAACTTGTTCTTCAGAAGTAATCAGTTTTAGGTCATCTGTAAAATAAAATAAAAAATGTTCACAATTAAATGAAATATAATATATATATCACAGTTATTATTATTGAAAACTTTGCAATAGCATCAACTAATAACGAGTCAAGTCCTTACCCTCAAATTAATTTTTGTAATTCCCATATTGATTATATCATTAATTGATATTGTTTTTGATAACATTATTTTAAGCTTCTTCAGTTTTAGGTTATCTGTAAAATAAAAAAAACGTTCACAATTAAATTAAATATAATAATAATAGTTAGATTTGTAGAGCGCATCATGCGAAAAAGCCTCTATGCGCTTGGTGATTGAGCTCTTTGAGTTGGACATTTTGAAAAAAAAAAATTAAAAAAAAAAAATTTTTTTAAATGTAAAATATATATATATATATCTCAGTTATTATTATTGAAAACTTTGCAATAGC